ATGGCCAAAAAAAGAAAGAAAAAAGAGAAAAAAAATGCAAATGACCAATAATTGACTGGTCTCTGGACAACCGTCATGTAAGTTGTCACGCTACTAAAGAAACAACTGCGTGGCAATCCAAATAACGGCTGCAAATCAGACTGAGGGCCGATTTAAACGGTACAACTTTGTCTTATGCATCTGAAAATCCTGTAACATCGCCTGACGTTACCATTCTCTTCGGGCTTTAAAAGCATGTTTCAAAATCACTCCAGATGTTTCACGTCGTGTCACGACACTAGGAAGCACCCATACCCAGGAAGCAATTTGTAGGTATCAAAACCAGAAACCAATTCATGTTGTAGGCTTGTTGTAAGATTGTCGCACAAAACAAAGTTGTGCCATTGGAGGGAAGAAAATTTTAAAAAAATTATACCATGGAACATTTTCCGTGGTCAAAGAGCTTCGACTTGGTCCTGGTCCTTCAGAGCTTGTTCTCACTTTCGTCTTTGTTAACATGTACAACCTCTAAATCGTCGCTGGGCTCTTCGCATGGTACCTGACGGAGAAAGCAATATTACAATTTTCAGTCGCCGCATAGACTGCCGGGATTGGTTATCGTTTCCGCGCGAGAACGTTTAAACGCGCGCGATGCTTTATTCATCTGCGTGCGAGAATTGTACTTAGTACGCGCTTGGGTCATGTATCTGATTTTTTACTCCCTATCAAGAACTACAACGAGAGAGAGAGAAAAGAAACACTCACCTCCCAGTAGTCCTCGTCATCATACATTTGTTCCCTGCTGGGTGGATCAAAGATTTTCCACCTCACAATGAAGCCTATGTGGAGAGAAAATCACATATTAGTTTTAATTCTCATTGTCTTCAAACAAATTCTCCGTGCATTTTTCCGCACGTCTCTCGTAGCACTTTCAACCAGCCCAATCAGCCTTCATTAGCAGAGGAGTTATTCTGCTAAAAACTGTTACTGCGACTTATGGAGTCACGTTTTGGGTAGTCACGCAACGTCTCTTACCTGACAAACGTTGCGTGACAACAGAGATGCGACTAGCGGAGGTTTGGTCAGCCTAAATAATATGCTATGGGTGCCTAGTCATAGTGCAAAACTCACAAGTAGAA